ACAGTGAATAGTTGGATCTTGTTTTCTAAACCCAACCTGGACAGTTTTGCCTTATGATCGTTTTAACCATCCATGTTTAATTGTACTGTTGATATGACTGGACTTATATGCCATTTTGCTTTTTTTTGTTTGTTTTGGAGACAGGGTCTCACTATGTAGTTCAGCCAGGTCTTGAATTCACTATGTAGCCCAGGCTGGCCTCAAACTCATGGTGATCCTCCTGTCTCAGCCTCCAGAGTGCTGGGATTATAGGTGAGTGCCACCATGGCTGGCTCCCTTTTGCTTTTTGATTCCCATATAGCTCATATGTTTTGTTCCTCTTCTGGTTTCTACAAGTACACATTTTGTACTGTAATTTTAAATTCCCTTAATGATTTTTTCAATATATATCTATGTATCTATATATCTATATCACTATGAAGATAGTTCAAATATATATATGAAGTTCAAATATATGTATATTTGAATGATAGTTCAATCAAATCTATCATTCACATATATATATATATATATATATATATATGAATATATATTTATCTGAACTATCTTCATAGTGATTACTCTAGGGCTTTATAGTCTACATTTTGTCAAACTCTCCTTAGGCTTCATGGTAAATTCCAGCAAAACATAGAGATAGTAACTCTATGGTCTATTCTTCTCTTTTCCTTATACATATTACATCTGTATTACAAATGTTTACACTGAACACATAAATGATGATAAAAAGGCTATATTTTAATGCTTTTGTGTCATTTAAAATAGTTGGAGAGCCAGTATATATAGTTTCTGTTAACCTTTTTATTGACTTTTTTTTTGTGTGTGTGTGACAGGGTCTCACTATGCAGTTCAGGCTCGCCTTGAGCTCACTTTGTAGCCCAGGCTGGTCTCAAACTCGCAGCAATCCTCCTGCCTCAGCCTCCCGAGTTCTGCGATTACATGTGCCACCACACCTGGCTTCTCATTTCTTTTGGAGGATTCATCACTTTAATATAGCTTTACTTTCACATGCTTCATTGTCACAAACATGTATTTCTAGGTTATAGGTAAACCACTAAAATTATATATTGTTTTACAGAGCTGCTTTCTAAATCAGCTCAAGAAGAAAAGTGAATTAGGTGATTACATACATTTTTAAAGTTCCTATATAGTTATCAGTATTTGTAGTATTGTTTTTTGGCAGGGAAGGTTAAGTTACTATGTGAGCTTGTTTTCAACCTGAAAGACTTCCTTGAAGTTTTCCAGGAACAATTTTCTACCACACCCCCTTAAACAGACTCAGAAATAGGTCTTCATCTGAGATTTCTGGAAGATGATTTTGCTAGGTATAAAATTTTGGCTGACAGATTTTTTTTTTTAGATTTTTCTATCATGTGTCTTCAGACCTCCACTGTTTTGAGAAGTTAACAGGTAATCTTAATTTCTTCGTCACTTTCTTTGTCACTGTGACAAAATACGTGGCACCCACAAGTTGAAGAAAGTTGATTTTGGCTTACTGTGATGCGCAGGCTCCAAGGCAGGGTGGCATCGCAGAGGGGCCTGACACAGATGATGCCCACCTCAGGGCATCTGGGGAGCACAGAGAGAAGGAGCTGAGGAAGGCCATGTGGTCAGTGACCCACCTCTTCTGACTAGCACAGACCGAACAGCACCTCAGCTATAAAACCTGCAAACCAGTCACCTCCCACAAGTCCTGCTATGACCCCAGGAGGCTTTAGGGGGACATCTAGATGTAAACTGTAACCTTTAACACGCTCACGACAGGGCTGTAATTCGTATGTCTCACTGCAGGTGATTCTGACTTCAGCTGGATCGTTCCCTCTGGCTTGAACCATGGGTGGAAGCTACATGACTGTCCCATTATCCTGGTGTAACATATATGAAATGGACTAATAAATTAACCATTAGTATATGAACGACTTCGAAAAATCATACATGTACACTGAGCGAAGGAAAACTTGGAAACAAAACCTGATTTTGTTTTTGACTGAGCAAACCGGAAGTCATCCTACTATAGTTCCTTAGGGGGAACAGTCAATGGCATAACAACTGTAATGCAGATGGTGTGTGGTACAGCAGTCGCAAATGCATATGAGACACACCAGCAATGGGATACTTGTAAGATTTCCACGTTAAAACCTGGAGAATTATTGATCAACTATTAACCCATGAAGAAACGCCGAAGGTGCAAATTACTTGAAAAAACACCCACTGTACAGAAGCTTATTTAGGAGTCGCAAGAATGTGTGAGTGATGTAGAGAATGTTACTGAAAATTTATCTGAAGAAATGGTGTTGCTGTGGCCTTAAAATCGCCAAACACATTATGTTTTGTGCACTCTGCACAAATCAGCCAGCTTTATGTGTTTTATTTTTGCTGTTGTTCATTTTGTTTTGCTTTTCTTCCAGTACCAGGAATCAAACTCACGACCTTGCGCTTTCCAGGCAGGCGCTGTGCCACTGAGCTGAATCCCCAGCCCAGCTTTATGTGTTTTAAAGAAATTCACAAATACAAAATTTCTTTTAATTAAATTTGATTATTGTAATTTTATCTGGTCTGAGTAGTATTAATATTTATATTTGGGCAATAATTATTCAAATTCAAGCAACCAACTTGATCTAACCCATATATAGGCCATTAATTTTATTGGTGAAAAGACAGAAAAATGATCAGATCCATTTGTATCCCCAGTGGTTCAAGCCCGTGGGAATGTGTTAGTGGGGTTTTCTTGTACACCATAAATTTTTTTTTCTGTTCTCAAGATTTTTGCTCCATATTTTATCAGTTTTGCTATGTTTGGGTATGGATCTGTTACAATTTTTAGAACTAGCTGATCTTGGGTTAATAGTTTTAATTGAATTTGGGATTTTCAGGCATTATTTCTTCATCATTTTTTCCAGCGTTGGGGAGCGGATTCTGAGCCTCTGGCATGCTAGGCAAGCAGCCTAGCACTGAGCTGCACTCCAGCCTCAATAACTTTTTCTTTATTCTTCCAACACTCCTATTATGTGCAGTGGGAAGTCCATATTTATCTTTGCATGTTTTTCATTCTCACTTGTCCTGGTTTTTTTTTTTTTTCCTCCGGTACCAGGAACTGAACTCACGACTTTGCGCTTGCTAGGCAGGTGCTTTGCCACTGAGCTAAATCCCCAGCCCCCTTGTCCTGTTTTTTCGACAGCTTCGTCTGCACAGACATCTACGTTTGCTGATTCCACTGCAAGCTTACATCTACTGTTCAGCTCTTATAATCAATTTTTCACTGCAGTTGTGCTTCTGAACTCCAGGATTGCCATCTGGTTTTTTAAGGTACTTCTCTTATTGATGTTTGATGGAGTATTTCCACCATACTTTTTTTTTTTTAACCTCCAGCATAATTTCCGTAATAAGCACTTTGCTCTGAACCCACCCCTCTCCCAAGCCCCTTGTGTGCTTTAGCTACGTGGCTATAGGGTTAAGTGCACGACGCAGGCGGCCTGATGCTCCTCCTCAGGGTGCAGTCACTCAGATTCTTCCTTCCATCCCCACTGACAGTGACTGTCTTTCCCAAGCTACCCACAAAGGCTCTGGTTCGTCTGCCTCTGCTGTGATCACATCCTGCTATAAGCATCCACTTATTGCTAGCTAACCTCTACTTTTTTTTTTTGTTTTTGAGACCGGGTCTCATTATGCCGTTCAGGCTGGTCTTAAACTCACTTTGTAGCCCAGGCTGGCCTCAAACTCTGAATGATCCTCCTGCCTCAGCCTCCCGAGTGCTGGGATTACAGGCATGTGCCACCACTCCCAGCAACCTTTACTATTTTTGACAGTGCTCTGGAGCATGTTATTATTTCTGAAAGGACTCTGCCACTGAGCTACACCCCCAGCCTCAGCAGCAGTCTGATCCAACTAAATTCAAGTATAGATAGACAGATAGATAGAACTTTCCTGCATGGTTTCCTGCATCCTCCCACACTACCCAAAGAACTTTGAAGTTGTGGGGATATGCAAGTGCAGACACAAAAGCCAGCTTCTCCAACACTGTAAAAAGGGACCGCAAACCACGGGGCAGAGCCTTAGGTTCCGCATGGCACTCGGACCTGCCGACTCCTGTTAAGCATTTCCCCAGCTTCTAACCCTATGATTTACTACACAGCTGCCTGTCTGTGTTGAACTTCACTGATTTTTTTTTGCTTGCTGCTATCATGGAGCTACCAGCCTTCTTGTCCTCCCCTAAGGCCAATATCCACTGTATGTGGAAGATCAGCATATGTAACCTTTTCCTCCTTCACTCTGCCCTAAACGAAGTGAGTTAGTCCCTTCAGGTTTAACACGGAGCTGTTCTGATGGCCTGCCACTTCCCCTGGACAGCAGCTCAGCGCCCTTGCTCCGGACAGCAAAGCAGCTTGCTCTCCGAGGACTGACACCACAGACTCCGCATGGGGCAGTGGTCCTTTCATCTTTTCTACTTTCCCTGCAAAGTTCACCCTAACCAATGAGCTGGGGCAGGACAATCGGAGGCCTGCACTCTCAGCAAGCTATTCCAGAACGGCTCTATGCCGCGCTGGGGCCTGGGGAGAAGGAGGGTTCCACACTTCTTGCTACTCTTGCTGGGAAAAGAGCTCCTGGGACCGAGAGCTGGGAGAATGCACAGAAGTGGAATGGGGTCATGGCTCAAAAGTCACAGACTATTTTACTAAGATTTCCATTCTTTCTGTAGTACTAAGGATTGTCTTGCACATGATTGGCAAGTGTTCTACCACTGAGCTACATCACAGCCCTAAGATTTTCTTTCTCTTTTTTGGTTTTTTGAGACACAGTCTTGCTGTATAGTTCAAGCTGCCCCTGAACTAACTATATAGTCCAGGCTGGCCTCAAACTTGCAGCAAACCTCCTGCCTCAGCCTCCCAAGAGCTGGGATTACAGGCGTGTGCCACCATGCCCAGGACTAAATTTAGCCTGAGATTTTCTTAAATGTTCGCTGTATGCCCTTGCGACACTTCCAACAGACTTAAACTTTAAGACAATTTTTACCAGTTATGGTTGTTTTATTGAGTCAGTGGATTTCCTCATGCTGCCATTCCAAGTGTTTCCTGATTACTTTTAAATGCCTGTCTTCAAATCTAAGCCATGAGGACCCGTTAAGTAAGGCAATATGTTCACAACCTGAAATAGCTTTCTGCTGCATCAGCTGATTCAACATCAACATGCAGCGTCCAGAACAAGTAGTTCTTTAATAGTTATTTAAATAAATTCCACAGGTGAAGTGCTTATAATTCACGTTCATTTACAAGTGCAGTGTGCCACACCAGTAAATGTTCCTGGACCTGTGATGTAAATAGCACTGAGTAATATTCAGTCCTGGAATAGTTTGTTGAATTTCTATTTCTAGCTCAGCAGATTAAAAACACAATTGTGAATGGTATAAAGATGTAAGAATCACACTGTGATAAAAACTAATTCCAACGACAGGGAATCTAGCCCCTCCCCAGGTAATTTGAGAATTCAGAAGTTTCCCTCAACTTGAAGCCGTCAGCCACACAGAAAACTGGAAAGGTGCCTTTCGGGGTTGTGGGGCCGTATAAAAATCTGGGATGTGAGTATTAGACGATCAACGTTATATTAAAATCATAGAGTTTTAGAAACACATTCAGTCTGAAGTAAACAGAAATTAACAGACAATTTACAAAGAACTGTAACTGAGCTCTAGTCATCATCCGAATCTGAGTCATATTTCTTTCCTCGGATCGTTTTCTTTTCCAGCTTTGTGAAGTTTTTCTTCTGGCTCTGAAACGGTGGGTCCATTAAATTTCCACTAAAAAGAAAACAAGTATCAGAAGCATTTACTATGTTTGGTACCCTAAATTGCAAAGAAAAACTGTCCTCATTATAATAAAGAACACACAAATATAGAAAATTTTCTTTAAAATGCCTCTGATCAAGGTAGAAGTACAATATTAATACATTAATCAACTTTATACCTTATTTGAATGATTCACATTTTTTAAAATTTTATTTTATTTTTTTTTCGGGAACCGAACTCATGACCTTGCACTTGTCAGGCAGGCGCTTTTGCCGCTGAGCTGAATCCCCAGCCCCTTGATTCACGTTTTAGATCAGGGTTTTTTTCTCTTTTACCATTTATAAGCTGTAACAACACAATTTCTCACCACGAAGCACAGAAAGAGGTTAAATATTCTGTAACTGGCTTGATAATGCTGAGCCTGTGTTATGTGTTTTTTTTTCTGTGAGAGAATGACAGATGCTGCTGCTCTATTCCTGACAGCCTGCTATGACTATGTTGGTCCTGTTGAATTTTTTTTCATTTTTTTAAAGTGCATATTGGTTACACAGGTTTTTTGCTTTTTTTTTTTTTTGAGATAGGGTCTCATTATGTAGTGCAGACTGGCCTGAAACTCATTTACGTAGCCCAGGCTGGCCTTGAACTCATGGCAATCCTCCTGCCTCAGCCTCCTGAGTGCATGCCCAGCTTGGTTATGCAGATAGATGGGTTTCATTCTGGCCAGTTCACACATGCACATAACATTCTTTGATTATTTTTATTCAATATCTTCCTATTTAATATTTTTAGAACTTTGATCTCTACAGACACTAGCAAAACTCTTGGAATTCATTATCAGTAACCTGCAGTTGGCGTGAACACTGTTTTCACAATTTTTTTAAAAACTCTTTTCAATGACACTTGAGAAATAATTGAAATTTCCTCTTTTGCAAGTGTCTGGAAAGTTATCCCTGGCACCCAGATCTTGGTTTTGAACTATCCTTTGCTGCTGGAAGGCAGTACAGTTCCTTGGAGAAATAGCTAATTCTAGGAGAGCATGACGTGAGCCTTCCTGAAACAGCTTGCTTGGACTGGAGAAGAAGGGCTCAAGGGTTACGGGGACAGCGCCCACTGGGAAAGGGCTCTCAGTGCCCAAAAGTGGAGCGGTCTGAACCTCAGAGTGGCAACAGTGTGCAACACACTGAGAAAAGTGGACAGCCCATACAGATATCACCGGACAGAAGTGAAACGTCAGTCTTGGAAAGCAAGACAAAAGAGAACAGAAGGTACTGCGGCGGCACGTTATTGCTGGTTAGTAGGTACTAAAGACATAATACGGAGAATATTATTGATCCAAAGGACGTTAAAGGGATGATGGTAACATTTGAAGATCTGTAATGACATAGTAATTTCTATTTTAATAATTTCCTGTGGCTCCCTGTCAAGAAGAGATTTGAAGAAAAGGGGCTAGGAAGCGGGAGAGAAAAAGATGAATTTTCTACTAACAGAAAGGCACTGTGACTAGAAAGCTAACTGTACTATTTGACCTGTTATTTTTCAAGTCAAAAATAGTCACAGAGGCTGAGGCAGGAGGATTACAAATGCAAGCTCAAACGCAATGGAGCAAGATCCTGCCTCAAGAGAAGGGCTAGGACGTAGCTCAGGGCAGAGGCATTGGGTTTAATACCAAAAAAAACAAAACATGAAAAGAACAGGCACGGAACACAAGACAGTTCAGGTGATTTTTTTCTTTTTTTTTTTTTTTTGAGACAGAGTCTTGCTATGTACTTCAGGTTGACTCTGAACTCTACATAACCTAGGCTGGCCTTAAACTTGGACAATCGTCCTGCCTCAGTCTCCCAAGTGCTGGCATTACAGACGGAGATGACTGACAAATGCAAGTTGAATTTCAGATTGTTTCCCCAAGTGAGACGATCCCCACAGTAAGTAAAACTTTTTGTGTTTTTCAGATTCTACACGTGAGACCTAATATTTTAAAATATAAACTTCAGGGATCGGGGTACAGCTCAGCGGTACAGGGCTTGCCTGGCATTTGTGAGGCCCCGGCTCAGATCTCCAGCACCACAAAACAAACAAAAATATAACCTTCTGCAGTTTGCTTTTAATTTTAATTTCATCAAAGAGAATCACTTAGGTCAGCAGTGAACTGCAGAAGTGGGCTGGGGGTAGCTCAGTGGCAAGGTGCCTACACTCTATAGAGTGTGTGAAGTCCCAGGTTAGATCCCCAGTATAGGGGGAAAAAGTTGGGAAGTATCTGTTCTAAGTGTCGTTTTGGGTTACCAGGCCGATACAGAATTAATTTCAGTAACATCATCTAAGTTGAAACATTTTATAGGCAGGTGCACAGCCAGACTCAATTTTATCTGTGAATCTAATTTTGCTACAGGCTTATGCTAATGTATTCTTTAAAACATCACGCTTTTCCTTGAAACTACCTCAGCCACAAGCCTTCATTTCATGAATCTTAAGATAAAAAAAAAAAAGCTGCATGGATAAGACTCTTAATGAACACGTTCTCTGGCTGCAGGTCACCTGTAGTTGAGGATGTCAGCACAGCCCAGCCTCCACTCCAAAGTTTCTGTGGTGAAGTCGTCGGTATTGCCCAGGTCAGTGAATCCCACAACGTAATCTTGTGTTTTGCCGTCTTTCACGAGCGCTAGCGTGGGGAGGACTTTGATATGCAGTCTCTCACAGAGGAAGGGTGCTTTTTCCACATTCAGCTTCAAAAACTTGGTCTCAAGATGTTTCTTGGACAGGATCAACAAGTGTCTGTCTAATATTTTACACCTGTAATAACAACACACAGCAGGCAAAAAACAAAGCAACAGACTTAGTTAAAAAGAGATTTTTGGTGTTTTTTGAGACAGGTTTTCACTATGTTTTAGGCTGGCCTTGAACTCATGGCGACCCTCCTGCCTCAGCATCCTGAGTGCTGAGATTACAAGTGTGCACCACCACGTCTGACTTAAAAATATCATTGTACATCTGACTTCATAGTTTTCTGTGTGAGTCTCAAAACTGGCAGCTAACTTGTGCTTATATCAGCTGACCTCATTTCTAGATCGTAAGTAATATGAGAGGCATAAAAACTCCAGTGTTGTAGAAAGTCACATTTGACCGAATGATATTTATTAAAACAAAATACCAAAATATTAAATACAGGCTTTAGGCCACAAAGGGGTTCCCAAGTTGTCAGTATCACAGTTAAGAGCGAAACATTAAGGTTCTGTTTCTCTTAGGCCTGTTGCCTGCTATCTCGTACAGGAAAGTAGAGAGGGACAAATGTGCACCTGACAGAACTTGGACTTTTTTATTTTTTTGAGCCAGCGTCTTGCTATTTATTTAGTTCAGGCTGGCCTGGACTCACTACGTAGCCTAGGGTGGCCCTGAACTTGCGGCAATCCTCCTGCCTCAACCTCCCAAATGCAGAGATTACAGGCGTACGCCACTATGCCCCACTAGAACCTAGACTTTTCAGACTCAAATGCACACATGCTGTTATATTTGGAAACTTCAAAGATGGGCGTTGCTCAGAAATAAGTCCTCCAACTCTGCACCTCTGTCAGTGAGAAGCATGCTAAGCTTCAGGATTACTAATAATCTTTAAATCATTATGGTGGCTACAGTTCTCAAAAAGAGAAGGCAAGCCAGGGGCGATAGCGCGAGCCTGTGATCTCAGCATGTGGCCAGCCCTGAACTCAGAGCAAGAACGTTTCAAAAACCAAAAATAAAAATGAAGGAGTGACTGGCTCAACACCAACAATGAAAGCTGTCCCCCGCCCACCGCCCAATTCCCAACATCATGGCTTAAACCTGAACATCCCAGGAGGAAAAAAAAGCTCAAAGAATTTGTTCTGGTAAGAATTTTAAGTAGACACTGCTAAGATGTTCTTGGAGTTACCAAGAAAATAATTCAGGAAATGCAAGCAACTTTTACGGAACATTATTGACTTTCTATAATATTCTCTTATTTGTTTGCATGTCACTGGCCTTTAAGCTGCAGGTGTTTAACATGCTAACCAGAACACTGAAAAGCACAACAGGGTCCCGTGACACAGCTTAGGAAGCTGTTCCTTTCAGTTTTCTTAACTACTTAGCAGTTTAGCCCAGTGTCACCCGGGCAGCGCGTTTATGTCCTACTGTCCTGTGTGCTGCTCGGGCAGGTGTCACCTCAACTAGCTGATTCTTGTTTGCACGAGATACACTTGTATATCTATTTGTTTTATGTAGACTATTCTTTGCATGCATTTTATTTAGAATGTTGTATTTGCCTTTGGTATTTATTTCCAATGAAATCTAACGTAAGTTCTGGTTGTTTTTGTTTATTAATTCATGTCTATTTCTGTGAAAAATAATCTAATTTTGTGCTACAATCCATAAAAGCTCTTTTCATAAGCACATTAGATATAATCTTTACACTTCTCCTGAACTCAGTGACAACCTTTTACAATACAAAATGGACACTGGGACCCTGAGACCGAGAAGGAAGGAAGTATAGAATCTGCCAAAGAAGAAGCAGAAAAGGGAGAAATGGTAAGCCTGTCAGAGGGAAAGTCTGTGCTATGAAACGGAAAGAGAAGCCGCTGCCTTACTGCCAACTACTTACAATACAGAAATGACAGAACCTGGAAGAAGAAACAAAACTCAGAAACTTCCATTAGTGGTCAACAAGTATAGTAATTCTGTGGGTGGCGTTGCCAGAGGGGACCAACACCTAACAAGCGACCCTGTAATCAACAAGTGAGAAAAAATACTATAAACTATTGATGCACCTTCTGGACCAAATAACATGGGACTTGTTTGTTACTTATGCACAACAAGGGGTTTAAGCAGCCGTTTACAACTTACATTAGGTCTAAGAGACCAAGTAACTGAAGAATACAGGGTAATGAAACGCCAACCAGGGCATCCATCACCGCAGTCCTCACCATGACGTTTACTGGGTGGGCTTTTTATTAAAACCGTACCCCTTCCCCGCAGGAGAAAAGGAGAGGCCAGCGCAACAGCATGAAGTGCATTGTTCAAAGACAATAATGCAAAGAGAGCTTGGAAAGAGCCTGGATGACACTGTCCAGACTGCGACTCTGCATTGTATACTGAATGTTTTACGATACACCCTACACAAAAAATTACTGAATGAGTCTGATGAAACTGTCATTTTTTATTCTGTTGTTTTATAAAAATTAACTAAAAATGTGCAATTTTTGGTTATCCTGTACCTATCTATCTATCGAATCTATCTATCTATCTTTTTGAGGTAGGTTCTTGCTATGCCAGCCTTGAGCTCATTTTGTAGCCCAGGCTGGTCTGGAACTCACAAGGATCCTCCTGCTCAGCCTCCTGAGTGCTGGGATTACAGGTGTGTGCCACCACACCCAACTACCACCACGCCCTGCTAACTCATCCTGTATCTAAATAGTTGGGCAGGCAGTGGTTAAATGTCTCCATTAAGCCAATGCATCTCTATGCAAACATTTCATCATGTTTTCAGGAAACAGCGGGAACAGAGTTACCTGAACGTGGAGTCTCTGTAGAAATGGCAAACCACCTTCTTACTCTCCTTGACTTCTTGAAAAAAGTCTCTCTCACTAGGGATTTCTCTGTATTCCCCATGTCCTTTCGAAAGCCATTCCTAATTTGGACAGAAGTCAAATATTACAGATGTATATTTCATTCAGCACCACTTGATATCAAATATCACAATTATTGTGTAATCAAGTCAATGTTATCTGGTAGAGAAACTTTATTTCTTTTGGCTGTTTACTTTCCTCTGTTTTGTTTTGTTTTTTGGTTCAGACAGGGTCTCACTATGTAGTTTCAGGCTGGCTTTGAACTCACTATGTCGTTCAGGGTGGCCTCAAACTCATGGTGATCTTCCTGTCTCAGCCTCCTGAATGCTGGAATCATAGGCAGGGGCCACCACACCCAGCTTGTGTGTGTGTGTGTGTGTGTGCTCTTAAACTACTAAAATACAAAGCATTTAATTTACTACAAAGCTGCTTCTTTTTGTGATGCTGTGGACGGAACCTTAGGCCTTGCGCAGAGCAAGTGAATACTCTACCACCGAGCTACACCCCAGCCCTGCAAAACTTTGTAGCCTCGGCTGGCCTCGAACTTGCAGTGATCCTCCTGCCTCAGCCTCCCGAGTGCTGGGATTACAGATGTGCGCCACCACGGCCAGCTTCACACTAGATCACCTTTAGAAAGGTTGTGGTGGCGCACACCTATAATCCCAGCACTCTGTAATCCCACCCCTTGGGAGGCTGAGGCAGGCAGATCATTGCAAGTTCCAGGCCAGCATGGGCTACAAAGTGAGCTCAAGGCCAGCCTGAGCTGCATAGTTAGACCCTGTCTCAGAAAGACCAAAAAAAAAGAAAAAGAAAGTTTGTCTTACATAGAACTATGCTATATTCACAAATTTGGTCTGCCGATCTCAGCTTGGATTAAGATTCAAGTTTTAGTCTATCACACGGCAGCCCTTCATATGTCACATCTTTTTCCCTAATTTTTTTTTCCTGGAAAAATTTAAACTTTCTAAAAAAATGGTGCTGGGGATTGATCTTAGGGCCTTGCACATGCTAGGCCAACCCTCTACCACTGGGCTACACCCCAGGCTTCCTGGACAAATTAACAATGATAGAAACTTTGAATTCAGAAAATTCTAGAACTGAGGACCCAAATGTACCCAGTAGAGCACATGTATGTAAGGTGTTAGGAGCATACTACTACAGCAACGTCAGAAAGCAGGGCAGGGAGGTTACTTGTTTCTGCTGCTGAGCTTTCTTTAGGGCCTCCAGTCGCTTCTCTTTGAGCCGTTCCAATTCATCTTCATCCATCTGATCCAGTTTCTGAATTTCAGAATCCAAATGTTCCTCCACTAGTTTGGTAGTCTGCAGGAGCTGGCTCTCCAAGACTTTGGAAAACATTTCGACAGATGCATCTGCTTCCATTCTTCTAAATGGTACAGTTCCTTTGTGCTGAGGAGAAGGTTTACAAAACTTAAAACATGAAGCAATGTTTTCTTTTCCAGTTATGTGTACTCCATAGAGTGTCCCACCAACAGCTCGACTTATGCTTAGGAATATTTGGGAAGTTGGTTCTATTTTTGTTACTGGGAATCGAACTCATGACCTTGCACTTGTAGGCAGGCGCTGAGCTATATCCCTGGCATGGATCTTTACTTAAGTGTTCCTAAATTTAATTTTCAGTAGGTTACAGTCACACCAAAATTTCAGGAAAGTTAAGCCTCATGTTTTAGTCATAACCAACTGGAGAGAAACCAGGGCTGGCACTAACGTATTCCCAGTAACTTAACATGTTCGTGGTGGGGCTGTGATTCATATGTCTCTCTGCCAATTGGCTCTAAGCCACTGTGGCCCGTGCACAGCTGCCCCATCAGGGGGCATGGACAGTCCCATTACGCGGTAGAAGCTGCCCAACAGGACCCTCATGCGCTTAGTACATGAGTGGTGATTCAAGCTGGTGGGAACATGTTAGAACTAATACAAACATCTAGCTTGTTTTACCATCCTAAAGGCAAAACAGATCTCTAAGGCCATCACAGACCACAGAGAAATGAGCTGTGCTCTGTGCTCATAACCAGCACAGAGGAAGCAGAGCAGAAATGACTTCACCATGAGAGGGTATAACTAGTGGGTTTTCCACGTAAATACATGTCAAAATTTCATTGACCACTGACTTGAGCAAAAGATAGCTTTTCTGTGGTCACTGCCACAGAGTTTGTCCTCTCCTATTGTATTACCTAACACAATCTCCAAGGTTCCAAAAACTGATACTGGTTCCCATGTACTAATAACAGTGCTCTTAACTTTGACATAAAACTTCAAATACTTTAACCCCCCCCCCCCGTACCGGGAATCGAACTCATGACCTTGCGCTTGCCAGGCAGGCGCTGTGCCGCTGAGCTAAAACCCCAGCCCCTAAACTTCAAATACTTTTTTTTTTTTTTTTTGGTTTTTCTCCGGTACCGGGAACCAAACTCACGACCTTGCGCTTGCCAAGCAGGCGCTTTTGCCGCTGAGCTAAATC